ATTCCACGCGGTCGGTTTCGCGGGCGAAAGCTACTATTTAATAATGTGTGCATTAAAAAATCGAAGGTGCTAGACATCCACTCGTCGCAAGCGTCAACAAACCAGCTACTGGCGCAACAGTTGACCAACCCGCCGCAACCTCTAAACCCTCAGAAGATGCAGTCCGCCATCATACATATACAACATCCGCTCATGTCTTCTGCCGGCACATCACAGGTGAGTATAATTTACACATAAAGTTATATCGGCATGTTATTGTAAACTTAATCATCGCTTTCTATATTTCCAGGTGCAGAATATTCAGTACACGAACACATCGACAACACAACAGAAGGCGACTGTAAGCAAGCCGCGAACAACGAACCCCGCCATCAGCGCACTTGTCACTAGTCTAATGAATTCAGCTCAGCAGTTCCAACAAGGTTCGACCTACTACAATAATATCCATTTTTAAATATATAAAATAGATAAGAACTTTTCTTTTATGTTCCTCCTTATCCTACTCCCGGTCGGCGCAATAGTTTTTTGTCCTCCACATAACTATCATACGTCATCTCAGTCATCACTCCTTATTTGATCATGTCACCCTTCACACAATCCATCCATCTCTTTCTAGATCTACCTCTACTGGTCTACCACACTCATAACTAACGTTCTTGTAACATGCGATTCATCCCTCCTCACAACATGCCCATACCATGCTTACTTTTACTCCTTACCTTCTCTACTGCCGGGGCTACTCATAGATGAGAACTTTTTATTTGTAAAATTTCAGCTGCAAGTCAAAACGCAGCAAAGGCGGTGGTGAGCACAGCTAACAGTAATGCAACGATACTCAACTTACTGAATAGTGCTCCGGCGGCTATGACGCACGCTACGCAAGGCGCGCACGTGGCGCAAAGCGCGCAAATGGTGCAAAGCTCACAAATGGCGCAAACCTCACAAATGGCGCAAAGTGCGCATTTGACGCAAGCCGCGCCCACAGACGGCGCTATCGACGCCCACAAGCTGCTCGGCAGAACTGTGTCTATATCTGGCGCTCGGCTCATCGCAACAACCACCGCATCGCACTCCTTACCTACGTATACTCAACAGGTAATTACTATCCAGTATTTTGTTTAGTGTTGGATGCAATAATAAGACTGTATAACGACTAGTTGTCGTCTGCGGTTCTGTCTATGCGGAATTAAATAAAACTGAATATATAGCCTACGTGTTCTTGTGTTCCAGGCTATGTTCTACTATGATATTATTTCAGCGAGATTTTTTAGTTCTTCTGGAAATATGTCACAAACATCCATCTGTACATCCATCCAAATTTCACATTTGTAATATTAGTAATTACATAAAAATGTTTTTTTATCGACATAGTTTGAATATTTGTATATTAATTGTTGTGCGTAAAGATTTAAATAATTGAAAAAGAATGTTGAATTCCAAATATTGTGAATGCGAAAGTTTATCGCATATGTTTATAACGTTTTCAAAGATTATCCCTACTTGGAATTTTGCGTCGGGAACTGCGTGTCTGTGACCTTGAGCCTCTGAAAAAAACCAGCCATACCCATTAAAAAATTGTTCATTCATAAATTATTTCAAATATCTACCATACTATATCAAAAAGCAAAACGTGATAATTATCTATACACCAAACCGAAATTATTGTTTCGTCGTAGTAACATGATATAAATGTAAAATTCGGTTTTGATCGCTACGTCTTACAATCTTAATTGAATTTTTAAAATTCATAAAACATACTAAATGAATAAAATACAGACAAGGAAATTACTACAAGGCGGGGCAGCGAATGTTAAAAAAATGTTAATACCTAAATCAATATTTATTTCCTAATATTAATTAAATTAGACTCTATTTCATCATATTTATAAACCTAGATTCCTAATATGAGTTTCAAGTTTACAAAATGTTACTTACCATAGACAGATAAATATCGTCGTTTGTGGTATTGTCGATGGTATATGTTTTGAAACTTTTGCAGGTTATGAGTGGGTACACGTGTGACAGTGAGTCCACGAACGTGTCGAGTAGTGAGAGTGCGTTGTTAGAGAGGCTAATGGGCCCCGACCCCACGCCCGCGACACAAGCGCAACCTGTATGCCATTTACAGGTAGCTTTATTATCAACTTCGTAGTCTCTTAACAATTCAAATGACTACGATTTTAACGTTTTTTGTTTTGAGTTTTTGTTTTGACTAATTAATGGGACGCGTAGATGCATAATTGGCTGATTCGGTTAGGGCGGTCTTACTAGATCTTCTAATAATCTCGTAAATAGACATGGCATCGTACAAGCATGGAGTAAATGATTGTTGAATGTCAAATCACCTTAGTAATGTAAATTGTTGCAAATGCTTTTCTGTTACTTCTTTTTTTTTTGTTTTTGTAACTATGTGTATCTTTCTTATTCTGTCGTTTTTAAGCGCTTAGCATGTTTGAATGTCAGGTCTGTTCGTTCGCTATGTTTATTTGCGATATTATTACAAATCTATCGATTAAACATATGTGCACAAAAACACGGGAAAATCGCAAACGTTTGCTAAAATAATAAATCAAATAAAAAATCGGTACGTTCGAAATCTATTCAAAATTATACAAAAAAACAAAAAACAAACGCATCTAAAACGTCAAATGTGTGTTTCTTATTTTGTGATTCGTTTTTGCTGGCTTTATTCAACTGTTCCGATAATCAGAGATATGGATTTGATATATTTCTTGCAGGGTTTGAGTTTAACGTCGCTGCAAGGTTTGCAAGGTATCCAAGGGTTGCAGAACGTTCAGGTTCAAATCCCGGGCCTACCGGCGCCCATCTCTCTGTCTCTGAACGTGTCGGGCGCACCCAGCGGCCTGCTCGTGTCGGTGCCGCCCACCACTTCCGTCGTACTCACCAACCAACCCTCCGTACTCTCTTTACCTATAGGTGAGTTTTTACACCTTTCATTTATAATCAATTTAAGAACTGAACAGTGGCTGTTAAAGATTTTTAAGGGTTTTTAATGTTTATTTCCTATTTCATGTATGAGTTGTCTTTATAAATTATCAACGCATGCTACATGTACATTACTTATTATTTTGAATATAGTGCTAAAAATTTTATACAGGGTGATTCTTAACGAACGGAACCAACGGCTTTACGGAGTTAGAGGATTTTCAGTTTTAAAGTTATTAAAATAAATTTATTTTAAAATATAGAAATGAAAATAACTTAAAAACTGAAAATCGGGCAACATACTTTGCGCTTAAAGGATTGATGTAGAGATCATCTTATTCCGTAAAATAGTAGATCTGTCCGTTAGGAATCACCCTGTATAGCTTAACCCATTGGGATGTATGTGAGTGTTTATTCTACTGTTTTAGCTCAATTAATGTCAGCTGGTGGCGTGAAGGGCGCGGTGCGGGGCGGCTCGGTGCAGGTGGTGCGGAGCGCGCGCGGCACGCGGCTGGCGCGCCCCGCCCCCGCCCCCGCCCCCTCGCCCGCCCCCAGCGCCGCGCAGCCGCCCCCGCCACCGCCCCTCACAGCTACCAGGCCGACGCAACCTTCACAAGGTAAGTTACCTTTTTATATCCTATGGTGGAAAACGAGCATGCAGTCACTGAATCCGCCAAAATGGCGAAGCGACCTCTGCCCATAGACATTCGCAACAACCTTACGTACAGTCGGGGAATCTGACGGTGTTATGTCCTAAAATCTATAGTCGCTTGAATGTTATTTATGCATTGAGACGATGACGTAGAACAATTACCAATCAGTTGCTTTTAAATGTGCCTGTTCGAAAATAAGTCGGCCAGGTGAACTTGGCTAATAGGCAATGTGCAAATGACGCTAAATTGGGCGAAAAAAATGTTTTGTATACTTGATTACTAGCACAAACATATAAAATAATATAACATGATTTAGTAAGTACTTAAAAATCCCTCTCTAGGTTCTAAAACGCAATGCTATTTTGGTCGATAGCCAGTTATAATTTTACAACGTTTAAAAGTGTATGTATATATGCATATTCCCTTTTGCTTTTTAATATTATCCGTCGTTTGCGCAACTCTCTGCTACTTTTTTTGTTATTTGTGAGAAGCGAAGTTTGTCTTGTTTCAAGAATCAAGGTAATATTCCTGAAAATAGAACACCTCGGATTTCCACGACTGTACTTTAACAAAGAGGTTGTCAGTTATAATATGACGCTCATTTTTAATTTGTTTTTTCCAGGTACTGCACAGTACATAACGCAAACGCAGACACAAGCTTTGAACCCGCATCAAGTGAGACGGAAATCAAATCCTGACAGTTCATAGTAGATAATACAAGCTCACTGCCGATTTAGAATAAAGTGTAAATATGTGCAGATATTAGTTAAATTATTTTAAAATATACTAGAACAAAATAAACAATTGTGTTGGTGAGCGTATATGAATGTGAAGTGAACTGTGAACAGAATATGACAAGACAATATGATAAAAATCAGGTAAATGTAAACTCAAGATACTTTAAATGTAAGAATCCAAAGTGATATCTATGTCTTTGACAATAGGTGCTAAAATTACTTCTCCGGTATTCTTATTTTTTTGACTATCTCGCTGCTATAGGTATTATTGTCTGTAAAATGGCATCAACTTATGAAATGTAAAAATCCTATTACCAATTTTTTGTACTTTCGTTTTTTCTTGGGTGTTCTATGCAGATTACATCATAACTCCGTTTTAATATTCACCATATTTTATTTCACTCTTATCTTTAATATAAATATAAAGCGGTAGTATAGTATATCTTATGTAATTTAACGTTAAAAAACTAGGACATGCTAACACTATGGATTCTTACACTTGCATATACACCGTGTCTGTTTTACACTATATGTCAAACTATGTTACCATTAGTTGCCCTTTTAAATATATTTTAATATAAATAATTGTAGATTCAAATTATACAGATTTTAATTTCATGTATTCCGTGATTACTTACCGGTTTTTTTATAATCTACACAATCATGTGTTTTTTTAACAACGGTCACAAATGTAGGGTAAGCTCATTATTTGGGCATTTGCTTTAAGTCACATAACACGTGTTATTCGACAAATGAGGTGCAGGCACCGTTGGAATCAACGAATCATAGTAAAATTCAAGCTGTACTCTAAAGGCTCTTGGTCAAATATTCTCTTCTTAGAGATAACCATTGCTCATAGACAAAGGTATAGCTTTTAATTTCAAATTCCGACTTCTATGAATCAAACCCAGCAGTTCTCAAAACTTTTTGTCCATGAATTTCAGACAACTTCAAATTTCAACACTTTGAATGCCATCAATACTCATTAAAAGTTTGTGTACAAAAATTATATTAGCACTGAATGTGTTAAAAATAAAATCAAAATGTTGGACTTTGTTTCCTAGGAGCTTAAATTAGGTTTTTAAAATGACTTATTTGATTTGGATTAGCCCGAATTTGAAATTAAAAATCTGTTGTAAATATTTTTGTATGGCAACTCGGACGTTGAGCGTAATTGTACCATGACAAAAGTGTGAATAGTTAATACCCATGAGTATAGTGAATAGAAATTTTATTTCTTGTTACGACTCGTTTTTTAATTGTAAATATTAGTGTTGTTTTTATTAAATTAGACGGCTTGTAAGATATGGTACTTAAATAAATCGTTTCTCAAACTCCTTGCACGATGATATTAGAAATATGGTAATGAATGTTTTGTTTTTAATTATTTTTGAACTTATAAAAATATAACTATATTTTTTTGTCAGAAAATACTAAAGTCCGATGATGTCTGAACAATTTATAGTGTAGTAAAAGTGATACATTTGCATGAATTATGAAATTATTAAAGCTTCATTGCTCTCTGTAAAAATTCTAGCGCATGCGGGGTGGGGGAAAAGGGAGTGTCGCAATATACTTGAGTTTTATGTTATTCATGTCATCTTGTATTATTTATGTAGTTATTTATCTCCATATCACTAATTATTAAATGTTCATGATTGCCTTGTTATTGTAGTCCTACGGATCCTAATCTCTTCGTGGTTTTAATGTAAATCTATAATAGGTAAATTAATATATGACTGTAAAAACAAATTGAAAATAATTTGGGTGCTTTTATGTATAATCAGTATTATCTATTTAATATCGTAGTGCTGCCTATTCATGCAGGAATGGTTGAAATACTTTATATAATGTACTTATTGTAAATTCAAATGATATTTTGACGTTTTCACTAACAAGAGATGTTTTAATTAATTTTAATACAAGTCTAATCAATCAGTGTCGTAATTTTTGTTATCCTCGAAGGTAATAATTTAATTTTTGATGTATTACTTTTTAAAAGGTCTAATATTTAGTCATTACATATAAAATATCTATGGTTAGTGAAAAGGAGCAATTCGATATAAATATATTATAGCAATTGATATTAGGGAAAAGTGTTGTTGAATGAAATGTATGTTTTGCTTGTGTAAGTTTGTTAATATTTATTTATACCGATAGTTCACGAATGACAACAAAGTTAAAGGAATCAATAAATCAATTTAATAATAAAATGTACTGAACTGATGAATATTATAAATAACTTAATTGTATAATGATTTCGAAGTTGTATACTGTAAAAATCCTTTAGAAGTTCCTTAACCCACGTAAACCAAAATATTATTAAGTCAATTATTTTGCGCCATTCACTATCCCCACAAACTCTTGGTTGTTCTAAGATAAGGCTCTTAAAGATAACTCTGGTCGGAATATTTTTCGAAAAATATTACTTTATGAAGTAACAACGAATATATAAATACATGCAAATTTACTAATAGTAGATATAAACTAGGACGATAATATAAATACAATTAATTTATACACAGGTGCCATATTAGATATGTTGCGATGTTATCTTGTACATATAATTTGGCATTATAAGAATGTTTGAAACTTTAATATTCGCACAAGACTTGGAATGTAGGAAAGTGTACAATAATAGTTTAGTATTCGTTAAGTATTCATGTGGTACTAGTGAATAGATAGGCTTTACAATCTCCACTGTTTGAAATTTCAAGGTTACGTCATGGTTCCGCAAATAACGTTACGCGACAGAGAAGAAATATATAACATAGGCAGCGTAAGCGAAGGACAAGTGTATTGTATAAGCGTCATAATTTTGATACGAGAGTACTTGTTTTCGATTTTCTTCAATTTTGAGTATTTCTATATTGAGTCATTGTATGTCTGTCTACATGTTATTCAAAACTAAATCGATTAACGTCTTTTTTTATTTATTTGGTCGTGAGCAATTTCGGCAATAATATTTTCGTTGACATAGATAATAAATGAAATAATAAATTAAATATTAGACGAGTCCTAACTATCTTTTATTATCGTTGGCTCTTATGATGTCACTGTTCTTCTGATATTCTGATGTTCTGATTTTCTGATATTCCGATATTCTCAAAATAATACAGATCCTGGTTTAGTTTTGATTTTTAAATGTATCATAAAAATGTAGGCGTACAAGTGGGTTAAGGCGACTAGCTTTTATTAAGAAATAAACCACTACTATATTAAGATGGGTTGACACTGCGGGAACATTTATACAAAACATTACTGTTCTTTTATTTTCCAGTGAGAATAAGAGAGACAACATGTTTAATTGTTTATGTTTTGGGTGTACAAACCCACGGTTATATTACGGCCGTAAAACCTTGTTGTTGGTAGTTAGATGTATTATAAAATTTGACTGGCATGGTTAATTGTATATATTCTGGAAATCTTTGATTTCATATAAATATGTAAAATATGTATGTAAATAACGCCTGCAGTTCAAAGTATGTGGATTCTTATGTGTTCATGATAGAAATGTTTTTGCACTAATAATGGGAATATTTTTCCATTTAATTCGTTATTGCATGATCTAATCTATTATTTATTAGTGCGTTATCGCCTGATACTAACATTCTTATGAAATCTGTCTGTTTCCTATTTTCATGGACTCCTAGTAATAATTAAATAATGCAATTTATAACAAAAGGTGTTCGTTTTTTATACATTTACGACTAGTGGAAAGCATGCAAGGTGGGTGTTTACTGAGACGGTCAATAAATAAAAGCAATATTATATTCGGAAATAAAACTCGGTAATTAAAATTACGATTATAAGTAGATCGTGTAATTTTAAGATATACTGGGCTTGCTTAAATAATACCGAAGCATTTGTAGTACGTATACCTGTTTTGAATTATACAAGGCATTGGAAATCCGAATAGTAAATATCTATTTTGTTATGAGTTATTAAGATGCGATATTGAATCCTCGTTGTTTTGTTTCAATTTTCAATTTTAATCCAACCTACATTAAATCGCACCTAATTGTTTTTAAATACATTCTGTTTTTTATCTGTTCGCAAGATTGTCGTTATGTTGACTATATTCCATTTCAAATGAATGCCTAATGTTGTAAACACAAACGTCAAAATATGTAGATGGCAGCCACTACATTATTTCATATTTATATCGGAAAAATATACATTATATGTTTAAATAAAATTGTTTATGGACAGCAACTAATTAGTTTTTCTGGTATAATATGGGATTAAAGGCCGGTCCCACGACAGGCTGATAGAGTCTCAGATAGCTTAAAAATGACGTCACTCAGATAAGGGAATAAAGTCCGATATTTCCATCACATATTTTACATGTTGGATTATCAATTTACAATTTAGTGGGACAGGCCCTTACAATTTTTACCGGAGTTATGATGACAATATTCTAGGAGTCAGTCCTACCAAATTCTTGTAAATTGCCTAATGACAATCCAATGTGTAAAATATGTGATAGAAATGCCGGGTTTTGTTACCTTTTTAAAGTGACGTCATTTTAAGCTATCTGAGCCTCTATCATCCAGTGGTGGGACAGGCCCTAAAGCTTTCATTTGAAACAAGGGATGGCTGTGTACATGTAAGCCACAGAATGCGGGATGTAAGTACCATCGTGCGTAATGTTGATCTCATTTGTTTACGAACCTGTAGCTCAATGTAGTGTTTTTGTAAAGAAATAAACTCAAAACTTTATCCGAATGTAAATGTTAATTTATAAGATATAATAAATTGTATATACATATTTTTAATGGAGATTTTTATACACAGTAAAAGCAGTTGGTTGTATAAAGTTTTCGGTATCTGTCAACTAAGTAATTTTGTTCTAACATAGTTTAATGTAAATATTATGTTAAGACGTGATAGGCATTCTTGTGTTTATTGCATAGATGTGTATCATAAAAATTTATATGAATGTGTTGACATGATTTTTTTTGTAAAAAGTAATATTGTAAAAATTAATTTGAATACGTTGTTCAGATATTGACATTTCAAACAATATAATAAATAACTTTTACACAATACTTTATTTCATTTTTAACCTACTTCCCAAAAAAAGATATCGATTCGACTGTATTTTTTTGTTTACCTTAAAGTTTTCATTGCGTTCAGATTTGCTAATAGACATTTTATGTGTCTAAAGTGGAACGATGTATATTTTAAAATCCTTGTCAGCACAATAAAACAATTTTACATTTTACATTTTACATTTTTCCAACAATTAATTAGTTTAAAAGATATTTTGAATATGATGAAATATTAATACTCTTATAACAAATTGATGATGATGCATTAATGGCGTATTGATAGCAATAAGACAAGATGTTGAACTTAGAGAAATTTCACGTAACAGTGAGCTTCCACTACCAAAATATTTGCATTTCCTACCTCCTTAGTAAACAGAGATAAAACAATATATTTTCATACATGTATTTTAGTAGTGGAGACTTTCGTTAAAATTGATCCTATGTCACTTCTACATACTATTCTTGAAATCTAAACTCACCCGAGTCTCAAGTTACTGAAAGGTCGACTTAATGTGTATTATGTATGTTATTTCATTTGAATATTTTGTAGAAAAAAACTTCTTTCTGTAGTGGTTTTTAAATTGGGCAAAGCTTTCCTATAAAATTATTGAATTACGATTCCCCATACTTAGTTTAGTTCAGCAAATAAAGGTATAACAAAAACTACACTTCGTTTTGGTTAAAAAAGTATGCTTTTTTATTATTCTTTCAAATAGTCTTCATCTAAATTTTATAAGAACATTGGACACAATCGAAGCTTTTTACCGATAAATAAGTATAAATAATTTCATATTCACATAAATCGTCTTATTTATACATACATTACATTTATTTTTATATCAGTCCTCTCAAAAGGTCCTTTCTCTCCCTGCAAATTAAAATTTAATATTTACATAGCGATAGGGATTCGCGTCTACCGTACATACATACATCAACAATTAACAATTAATAGAGACTATTTACAAAATATATCTTACTATCACGCACTCAAGCATTCTTCATCTATCAATCACGACAATTAATTACATTCACACGATTTGGCATATGGATGGCGGCATGTCACTAGCAGAGGTCGTCCCGGGAGAGCCACCAGGGCGCGCGGCAGTCCTCACGCTTCCGTCGGCGTCGCTCCGCGCGGTCGCTGCGCTTCTTCACGAAGCGGATGTTGTATGGGTCCTCGGCTAGTTCGGGGTAGCGCGCCACGTCGTGCACGTACTCGCCCTCGTAGCCCGCCGCCGAGCCCGCCTTCTGGATCTCGTCCAGCTCCGCGGCCGACCAGTCAAGCGAGCCACCCAGCCCGCTGCGCAGCGCCTCGCGCTCGCGGTGCCATGCTTTTCTGATTGCAGTTGCGTGCGCGTGGTGCAGCAGCCGCTGTCTCTCTCTTTCCGCGCTCGTACCATATCGCAGATTCACGATACTCGTATGCCCATGAATTTTTACATCAGCGTAGGATCTTCCTCCTTCAGTTACTTCATGGAAGGTAACATTTAATTTGCCCTGCATGCGTTTCAGTTGCTGCTTGTCGTCGGCAGCGCGCCAAGTGTCCTCTTTGACGAAGTAGAACACGTCCTGCTGGTCTCCGTGGACAACGAACGAGAAAGGCAGGAGATGTGATCTGTTAAAAACTGAAGTGTACACGTCGCGATAGATGGCATTGGCCGAGGGCACAGTAGTGACGACGGCGCGGCCTCTTGAATTTCGAGATACTAGAATTCCACGTCCGAATGGTGCCTCGGAGTCGGAGCCGATTCTTTTTGGTGCCAATTTGAGAGCATCCGTTTTGAGTGCAGACATGGCTGGGATGGACAGGCTTCTAAAGTCAGCTATTCTCTTGTTGGACATGTGAGATAAGAAACCGGATTCAATAGAGACACTCGGAAGTAGCGACATAGCCGACGGTAAACCGGGGTTACTGTCCACTGGTGCGGCGCCCCATATAGGACGTCCTCTTGGAATACTGGGCATAACAGATCCTCCTGGAAGTTCATCTGGATAAAGTTGCGGTGCCAGGCTCTTCGTATCGTAACCGAGTAACTCAAGCCACGACATATAATCTGTAAAAATAAGAGAGACCATCAGTATTTGTTAATCTATGATCTGATAAAACTAAATAGATTTGTTTAATACCTACCGATTGGTTTCTTGGTTTGGGGACGAACATTTATTGGATCGTTGCCATTAAATCTGTACAGATGCAATTGCGTTGGATTATGTATTCTTTCGATAAGATTCTCCCAGAGAGGTGACATCCATTGACCAATTAAAGGATCGTACACTTTTCCATTTGCCATATGTACCAAAGATGTCACTTGGTCCAATAGTCCTCCACAGAAGTCAACGGGCAAGTACAAGTATGGGTTAGAATCATACACAATATGGCCATAAGGAGATCTCATAATCTCTCGAATGCCTTCCCCATATTGGTTGAATACCATTACTGGGGTACCGCATTGGTCAGTTGCTATGTAGTATTTGTGTCGAGCCACCTGGAACATTGTAAATATCAAATTAGTTACAAATTTCACTTACATTTAAAACACTATTAGTTAAAATATGAAAATTATTATTTGGTTACCTGAGTGTATATCAGATGCCCTCTGTCGTCATAAACAAGGGTCATAAATCTGTTTTCTCGTGGCGAATAAATATGACTAACTTCATGAGGTTTTTCTTTATTGGTGTAGAAGAACTGAGTCACGTTCCCAAAGTTGTCTTTTCTTGTCGATAATCTATTAAAGAAAATATTAATGTTAACAAATAAAAACATTCATGTATATTCCAATTAATGGCTCGAATTTTTTCTTACCTATCTAGATGATCGTAATAATATTTAACATCAAATCTTCCTCGCTTAGTTGCTCTAATCAGTAACCCCTTGGAATTATACTGGAAGCGTTCCTCTCTGGCGTTTTGCGAAACCAAGCCTCGACTGTCATAGCGGTATTGTCCCTCACCAAATTTAATTATTCGATCCATGTCATTGTACTCCATAGGAATAGTGTTACCTCTATATGTCAAAGATAGCATATTTCCATTGTCATCATATCTGAATCCCCAGGGTTCTTGAGCCTCTAGCCCGGTCAACTGGCCATCACAATCCCAAGTATAATTCTTAACATTTGTGTAAGTATTAACGCCGACATTTCTTGTATGAGTTCTAGTTTGAGAAATTCTTCCATGTTTATCGTAGGAGAATTCCATGCGGAACACTTCCATACGATGAATGTTTACTGTAACTTCTTTTTCTAAGAATTGTTCATTCAATACGCGTGAAAACATGGCGATTCCATCATAAACCGATGTCTCGTTCCACTTCTGTTTTGATACTGTGAATTGACCTAATATTTCTGGTGCACCCGTTTTGCTATTGTAAACAATGTGGTAGGGTATGAGAGTCTGTCCGCCAATACGACCTTGTACAGATATTATTCTGTAATTATTATCGTAATCGTAAATAATTTTCGCATTACTAAGTCCAGTTTTAGCTCCATAATCTAATCTCTCTTCCATTAAAAGTCCACCAGCGTAAGTAGATTCCCATCTATAGTCCACATCTCTGTCAACGTGTAGTATTTCAGAAGGTAGTCCACTGTTTTCAGCGTAATGTATTTGTGTTTGCCCGTCACCGTGAACAACTTCTGATACCTTATTAGTTGTAAAGTATCTATAGATAACACGAGCGCCATCTCCTGGAAATACTGTTTGTAATAACTCGCCTGTATGGGAGTAGTGTTGTAAATATTTCTTGGATGAACCCGGAGGCGAATAAGTTACTCTTAGGAATCCTATAGATGGTTGCACGCTAAACGAATGATTCGTTCCCGACGGTAGAATAACGTGTGTCAACCCACCACTCTTATCGTAGGAATATTTAAAATTTCTTTGGCTTGCTAAAGTAATTTTCGACACGAGGTTTGCGTCGTTATAGTATATAAATTTAGTGCCGTCTTGTGTGCTTGTTATTTCTGACAACATGCCATGGGGATCATAATTATATGTTTCCTCTGTTACACCCCACTTCCAACCATTGATTCTGTAGAAACGATCGTATGAAATATTTAACGGTACACCTGCTCCATGCGGTGTGAAAGACAGCGGCAACCCAGCCACGTCATAAGCAATCGTAAATAGCGGGTTTCTATCAGCATTAAAGAACGTCTCGCGACTTTTGAATTGATCGAACTCGATTATAAGCACGCGTGAATCATTGACCCATATTTCACGATTAAGTGTCTGTTGTGGATTTCTGACATCTCCCACTAATGAATACAAGGAGTACATATTGTTTACTAATCCATCTCCGAATGTAGTACTTTGGTGTGACCACATATGAAGCATCTCGGCTTCAATGGGTAGAGCAGCTTCGAGCAGAGGATGTTTAGCTGCGGCGATACTTTCAAATTTACCAGACCATGGTGTTTCAATAATCAAAGTGTTATTTGTGTAAATTCTGCCTTCTGTTACTTGTTTACCATTATTGATGGTGATTTGTTTGAAAGACTGGCCACGTAGAACATATTCACATTTCTTTGCTACTCCTACGGGTATCGTGCTTGATGGATTAGAAACAGTCACCGCTAGGCCATAATTTTTAGCTAGACCAGACGATATGTGAACTTGTTCTCCGGATGGCATTATTATTTTTGTGACACGGCCCAATTCGTCGTAGTTGTAGATAACAGTATCACCAGCCTAAAACAAAAAATAACAAAATGAGTAACCGTATGGAAGTAATATACTTAAACAAGACAAAACTATTGATTTATTGTTGTCCTTACCCCTGATCTGCTGTTGAGCAAGCCCGTATTAGCGTCATAGTCTAATTCAATTTCAGATGTACCTTTCTCTGTTATTTTTGTTAAATACCCAATGCCAGATATTTTCAATTCCAGTTTATGATCCTGAGTGTTTTCTATCGAGCTTACAATGTTACTATAATCTCTGAGTAGCTGTATTTTGTTACCAGAAGCGTCAGTCACAGTAGATAGTTTCCCAAAGCTAGTGTTTTTGGAATACAAAAATGAGTATCTGGTTTTACCAGACGTCAAATCTTTCGTGGTTATGTGTTGACCGTAGCGATTGAAGACGTAAATTTCTGACGTAGGAGGATAGGGGATTCGGAATTCTCCATTTTCATCATGTGACGGTAAATAGTGTTTTAATGCCAATATGTGTAGCGATCCTGAAAAATAGGTTTAAACAGGTTAGTTTTAGCAGAATTTTATGAAAATTTAATACATTAGTAAAATTAATCAAAAAAATTACCTTGATCTACAACATTCAGTACGCCATCTGGGGTAACAGCAAGTGCAGAAATAGTTTGAAATTTGGCATTAGACGATAGTAAAGTTTCAGTACTCGTTGGCGGTTCGTCGCCAGCAACTACACTGAGCTTGCAAGGGCAACCTGCTCCCTCGTCTCGGGGGTTCATTGGAATAACTGTTGCTGATAGTGAAGTATTGCATTCACAACTTAATTCTTTCATATTTTCTTGCAATTTCCCGGCAAAGTGCATAATTTTACCAGATGGATCAATCGATTTGATTGTATTCGTTTTTTTCGAATCGGATTCTGCTACGTATAATATTCCATTCGGAGCGAATCCAATGGCTAGTATCGTTCCAAGACTAGAATCTTCTCTAAATTCAGTATTCGTTTTATTAGTTACTTTGCTAATTGGTTTGCCATCGCTTCCTAATCGACAATGAGAAGGTTGACCCGCTACTACTTTAATCTTCATGTCTACGGTAAGTTTTAGAATAATTCGATCGTCTATAAAATACAAGGAGCCGTCTAAGGGAGATAGAGCTACACCGGTCGGCCACTGCAACTGAGCTTCGTATGGAGGAATAGCTCCGCGACAGGGAACCGGTGACCAGTGGTTGTGATGCCCATGATGACCTACTAAGGTGTGAATTATTCCATTTGGATCAACTGCGCGGATATTTGTTCCATCAGCGATGTACATCGTTCTGTCTGCTGCAATTGCAAGACCTAAAAAAACATAACATGTTATTAACATAATTGTCATTAATAAAGTAAATGGATAAAAAATAGATTGACAATTAAACTATATTACCTTTAGGATGCGCCAACTTGGCTTTGATTGCAGGGCCTTCGTCACCGCAGTTAGTATCATCACCCGGCACACAACGGTCACCATTGCCAACAACCGCTTCTGAATTCATTGAAGGATCTCTAACCTTTTCTAGAAGCAATACTCTTCGTACTTGATGTCTTTCGGAATCAGATATGTACAGATATCCGTCTGCTGGTGATATACAAATATAGTACTGGTACGCAACCTGTGTAGTTCTGAAATATTTTTTTTAGTTAGTTTCATCATAAACGGTGTTTATCAAGATTTTAGATAGGAATGCTTACTCTAATTGCAGAACTGTGGTAACAACGCCCTCTGGTGTGATGCGTCGTACTAAATTGAAGTCCCCAACATAAAGGGATCCATCGGGCCCTGACGTTAGCGCTGTAGGTGTAAGTAAGCGAGAATCTGCAGCTTTGCCATTGCAGTGATCGGGACATTCTAGGGCTCGTTGTAGACCGGTACCCATTACAACCTGGAATTAAAATTGACCTTTGTTATAGGCAAATTGATTAAAAAACTTTTTTGCACATAATCATTTTTCAATACTAGTTTCTAGTTCCTACAGTCCATAGTACGAGCATTACCTGTACAGTCCGCGGGTAGCGTTTCAAATGCAGTAAAGCACCGTCGCCTTTCTGTAGAATGCCTTCATGGAAGTTGTAATGATGATGGATGTCAAGTCCCCAGCCGCCGATGTCTGAGATGTCGACGTCGAAGCCGGCCAACGTCGCCGTCTGCGTCTCCCACACGATTGATGAACAAGACGAGTACTCGTAACCAATTGAGATCTTCGCATGCGCTTGCCCGTACACCTGGAAAATATAAAAGATTGTTTAATTAAATAATTAGCCTACAAAATTACGATTATATATATCCAGAATTTATATATCCAGACCTTGGTATCCATGAGCTGCATACTAGGTGCAATTATAATGGAATAGTTTACGTGTAATTTAACGCACCTTTTGTTTATAGACGTTACGTTTGTTCCATGCGAAGACATGTGTTAGATCAGGGTCTGCTTCATATGTATGTGTGTGCAACGATCCTTCTATCTCGACGCGCACGTGGACGCGAGCGAGCGACGCCGGTACCACGCGCCGAGTGAGCTGCACATGCACGCACGATAGATAGCCCGCCGCCTGCGACGAACGGTACGTCAACTGTACCAACGAGCCCGGGATGCCAATAGACTCACTCACGATCTGAAATAACAGATTATTAAACGTTAGTGGTATCGATTACATTTTTTTTATTAACACTCTCTATTGTCACCAATATCTTTCTCATGAAAGTGAACTCGTTTGGTGTTTCACGTTCAACGTTCTAAGTATACCTCTGTTTAAATAAATCGTGAACAATTTGAAATATTCTGAAAGACCTATGAAAAAATCATATCTCAATACAATCACACAACTCACCTGTGCTTCAGGATATACAACTGTAGTTGTAGTGGCAGAGGATGCAGCGGGTGAGGCTAACGGCGGCATCGCCACCACCTCGGGCCGCAACCTTTCGTGGTCGTGCGCGGCGCACGGCGGTCTCTCCGCCTCCCACCACTGGGGCATCGGCGACCAGTCCAGTCTCGGTGGAGCTCTGTACATACATTAATTGCTTTATTATGTTACGGCGCTAATCTTTTTATAATGGCTCAATTTATAAAAGCAAGGGCGTAGGGTAGGTTTATTTGTTTCGGAAGCAATTTGTCGTGTATTTACTTACAAGCAGGGAATTGGAATATTACTTACAATGACTTATTAAAAAACACATTTGTACGTTATAAAAATAAAACTAGTACAATATAACAAAGTTTGTCTGAAAAAGAAACTCTGAACGTAATCGATAAAATAAAATAACAAATAGCAATTATAATTAGTAATACAAATAAGGTGTTACAAGCTCAGTACTTTACCAATAACCGCCTTTGTTTTCTTGAAAATAATAATTTGTGGCCGAGGCAAATATGACACCTATTACGAGTACATGACGACTACAATTTGTTGGCTTTAAATGTTTATTTGTTATGGTGACAGCTTATTTTATGTGTTTTATTTCCTATTTTTTTTGCAAAGCAATTGATGTGTTATTTTGATATTTTACCTAGGTGTCGGTACTTTGACGCTATCATCGCTGAGTTCCATCTGCACTGGAGGCAACACAACTATCTGATTCCACGGCACGAAGACGGTCTTGCGTAGAGGCTTGAAGGGTGAGCGCTGGAACTGTAACGTCACAGCTCCGCCGCCGTTCACCAAGACATCGAACCTGGAATAGTTACATATAGACGATTAGGGAAAGTATACATAAGTAAAGTCACTATTGTAACATTTGTGTAGTAAAATGCAAATCATATTATATTATTGTTGTTGAATGTGAATCTATATTTCATTACGTAAATTTTTACTTCTCACAAAATAATTGCTTTCCAATATTTTGGATTTTTATTTTCAATTTAACTCTTGGAGATTCAGAAGAAAACAAATATCTATCTTAAGTAGATAGAAGCACCCTAAACCTTTATTCGAGTTAGATATTGATAATATTACAATTAGAAGTAATCAAATATATCGCAAGTCAACTGTAAAGGTTATGCCTATAAATAGCTTGAACTATCAAGACTATTAAAACTAACTACAATTGTGTTTACATTTTAATAAGAGCTTTTACGTAATAGTTTTAGAGCGCATGCTCACAACAATTACGCTACTGCATCGTAACTTTGAGGAGGCATTGTGGTACGTCTTAAGAATTTGTAGGTTAATTATGAAAGTGCTTTTTAATGCTATTTTTATAAACGTTTGTGGTAATATACATTAAAAATTAGTACAATTTTGGATTTATTGGAGTTTATAATTTTAATTGCTTGTTAAAACCTATGTTACCCAAACGCTATAGAATTCTTTTTAAATTTGACATGTTTATTAAATTTGAATATTCGAATCTTCCTGTGTGAATGTCCTGCAAGTGTTTTTGTTTGAAAAACTATCTTCCATGTTTACGAAGCTTTCGTTCCGGCTGCCGTAAGTCAATTACGTCAGAATTCGTCATGTCGGGCTGTCGGGCTTCGGACACGGTTATAATACATTAATAACGCATGACCGGTATTTAGTTAAAATATTCATATAGAATGTAACTATTGTACAAATATTTCTGTTTGTCACGCGATGCTGTGTGTATTTTTATTTTAATAACATATTAAGTGTATAAACGTGGACGTCAAACGTGTATTTATAACATTTCAACATCGTTAGTAGAATTTTAAATGGTATTTATTTTAAGAAATATATACAACTACTTAATACTAGCTGTTCCCATGCGTCATCATCCGCATAAAATTATAAAAATTTCATTTTATTGTTTACATTTGTCAAATTATCAATTGCAAATGTCAAAATGACATGACATGATGTCAAACCATGGCAACCTTGATTCCTTGATGTTGGCAGCAACTTATGGTCACTTTCCCGCATTAGGGTTATTTTTCAAAATATTTACCCCTAACTTTAAAGACGTGAAAATATTTAGCCTTAAGCGTGACGTAAGTGTAGGGCTTTTTATTAAAAAAAGGATTATCCAAAAATATACTGTATTTGCTGACATCTTAGGCAACAAAGAAGTGTGTGTTTACGCTTTATTATAATAGTATAGATTAACTATTAGCCTTTGCCCGCGACTACGCACGAGTGGAATATAAAAACAAAAGTGAGTAGCCTATGTGTTCTTCCAGACTATCCTATATACGTCTATACTAAATTTCATTTAAATCCGTTCAGCAGTTAAGGCTACAAACTCTAACAAACGTCCATCCATCCATCTAAACTTTCGCATTTATAATATTACTAAGATGTATTAACGAGATAACGCTAGATATTTTAAGCACTACGAATTCACACAATGTCAGACAGATTGTGTGATTGTGTGAATGTTTTATTTATCAGCTTAATTTAAATCAAATGAATAAAATAATTTGATATGTTTTCCTTATTTGTGTATCACTTACGTTCAAATTAAACCTTAATTTAACAAAATAAACTTCAAATGAATGTGGTTTTTAGGTTCTTTTAGGGATAAAATGGCTGCAAGAGTGTCGTATATTCAAACAAGGGCGCCACTGTAAGGCGACGCAAGCTGTGTTTTAATTGTTCGTATTTGCTGCATTACTTTGTGTTTTGTGCAGGCTTCCGTTACTTTCACCTGGACCATTTAGCTTTTTATAGCTGTAAAAAGGGTACCTTGTGTTAATTTTTCATTATAAAACATTACTATTTTTATGTTTTGTTAAACACCTTGTACGATTTAAGTAATACAATTTAACGAAACGAAAAAAAAAACAAATTGGTAAGCTTATATCAACATAACGTATAATACCTATAGGGTAATCAAAGAGACAATCATATTGTTCAAGGCAATTCAGTTCAATTGAACTATTTTTTTATAACCATAAATAAGTATCTTAAGACAATTAAGAAAATATTAGTGACATCGTCCCAGATATATGAAATAATTGAATTTCATTAATCAATTCTAATGGTGACAGTCAACAAGAAATTACCAAAGTAACCTGGAATCAAGTAAAATATAAGATCTTAAATATAACATACTAATTATTTAAATAAACCACTGACTTGTGGGTACCTACCATCCACCCTGTCTAGTAAGAGTGAAGCCGAAGCGAGCTTCCCGATCCACGGACACCCGTATTCCGATGATTCCCAATCCTTGCGGCGAGACGACCTGGCCGCGCATCACCGACACACGGCTGGATAGGATGTTACGTCAGTCTCTCACCAGGGGGCAGTGTACAGCGTACAAGGCGATATGCTTCACAGGTTATTTTCGTTTAACCTACTTAGTTACTGGTTCATACTTTAAAAGGCTCATTCATGTGTACTCGTTTATAAAATAACGTGTTATACAATATAATAAAATGTTAACATATAAAGTAGGTGTAATACATACTTGTATAGCATATAAAATAAATTGCAATAAATTAAATTAATATTTCAATAAATAAAGAATAAATGTCGCGTGTGTGTGGTTTATTACTCGATATGGATGGCTATGGCCTCTTTAAGCTACCATTTGTTGAGACAATTTTCAATTTTAACTTCTTGCTTTTGCTTTGAATATGGTTTCATATTCTTGACAAAATTTTAAGTAATTCAACATGCAGATACGAAATAAAATAAAATCAAATAAATGATACAATTTAAATTAACAGATTTAAATATGTCATATTAAACTCGGAAACACTTAATATAACTCAGGATAGATTATTTTGAAGATTAAGAAAGATTTAATGTAATTAGATGCACAGTTTCCTGCGGTAGATTTTCCAAGATAGCAAACTTAAGATCACAAACATTTCCTGTGCTATGTTTAGCTTGCGTGGTTGCGGGTTGATTCGAACGTTATATGCAATAAAACAAGCAACTTGCGCGGCACATCTGTGTGCATAAATTAAATCAGAGATGCTCATTTGATTAATCTTACGTTCCCCAAATATATGCGCCGCATTCTCAAAATATACTTCGATTTATTATAAACTATTTGTATTATTGCGGCTGTTTTAAATATCGTGCGTTATTTACTGTTTGTGTGAGTCAAATTGCCAAGTGTCTTTTAATTTATTTTATTGATAAAAATCAATCATTTATTCGCTTTAATCTTACCGTCCATAGTTTAAAAGGTTATCGATCGTCGGGTTATCAAATATTATTAGTAACCAATTAACTGCAAAACACGACAGCGTTATCGTTTGTTTTCCCAAGTACTAACTAATAATAGGCTATTAAAATACCCAAGACCTTTAACCCTTTCGGGGTAGGTAAAGTAGTACTAATGTGTATGCAAAGTTTAGTTCAGTACCCGAGAGAGACCTATGCAGTTCAATGGATGTGTACGCATACTACGCAGAATATCGATATTTTTAGTACTTTAATTTGAGTTACTTTACTTCAATACATTGACAAAAATATCTTATTAATGTATCTTTATCGTGTAAATAAATATATAAATATCATGTAGTAACTTAAATATACGAAAATACGAACATTATCATTACTATGTATATTACCTGTTTATATTAAACGTGAAAATGATGAAACATTTTATAGTATCTTTAATCAATAACTTTGAAAACAGTATTTAAATAGAAAAATTTGAAGCATATCGCCCTGTAAACTTCTTCGATCACAATCTGAGCGAAGTTCTCGTGCTAATGCGTTTAATAATTTTGTTGTAAATTCTGTGAAAGTGAAAGAATGAAATAAAAAACTGAATTATAATAAAAACAAAAGAAGTTCTTAGCATTGCACATTCTCTTATCAGGATCAGTCAGCTAAATCTAGAGTAGATTTCTGTTTGAATATACGAATAAATATAAAACAGAATTAAAACAAAAATCTACCTAGATATGTATTTAGATATTATAATGCATGTTACAGCTGCCACACAAACCATATTATATCTTTCATTTAATATTGTCATTTATAAGTATCTAATACGATATCATTTCACACACTGGAAATTGGTGCAAAATCTTAGAATTGAAATTAATTAAAATACCAATTGTGAAAAGGAGAACATTTAACAATTAAGACCTTACTTAGGTAAGTAACTTAAATAAAATAATAAATACAAAAAGGGATGTTAATTCGCGATAAACTCAAAATTGATCACATTTTAAAATTTGTTTCATTGCACCAACATTGTCTAAATGTATTTTATTGTTTTGTCTATCTACCCCAGAGAAGCTAAGACGGGTTGCACATTGCCTAGTTGTTTAGTAAATGTGTGTAGGAGTGTTGTCGAGGGTTTTTATTTTTATAAAATCACCTCATTACACTCGATGTTGCCGCAGTTAACTTCCCGAGTCGTAGATCGTAACCGCGGTCCTTTCCCACCCCGCCTACCACTGTCGTTTTGTTTCGTTCTGATTGCTCCTACACTTGTATGTGTTTTGTTTTTATGAATGCACCACGACATCAGCGGCAATCTAGTAGGGCGTTTCAATAGCGCACGCTCACAATTCACTACCTTTGTAAAAAGTTTCTCTGTTATCTTCGAGTATCTAGCCTTAATGGTACCCATAGTTTTTGTAATGCGGATTATGTGACTTTGTTTATTTTATTTGAAAATCATACAAGCTAATGTATGTAAGCAACTTATTAATGTTCTGAAAGAAAATACATGTTTAGTTTCTGTTAAACTTCAACATAGTACAAGTGTATTTGGTTAATATACGCTAAAACAGTTTCAAGGTTAAAAGTACATAACATGTTGGGTAACTAACTGAAAGAAAAGTTAATGTTAAAATTAATAAAACTCAAATACATTTACAAATTCTCAACTAAATACAGTAAAGTAACAATTGAATCAGTTATCTGAAAAGAGCAACAAAACATATTTTAAGTAGACATTTAAACTAAGAGTAGAAGATGAATATTATGTCAATTGCACCAATTTCACAGTGATAATAGAAATAAGGTGTTAGAGATGACCAACTGATGGAAGCGATGGTGGTAATGTACAACTTCCGCGACACTGCGGCGGTCGCTTCATGAAGTAAACATTCAATATATTGTGTTTCGGTTAGTCACAGAGGGTAAGGATCTAAACACATAGAGAGCTCGGGCAGGGGGTAAGGGTTTGGTTCACAGATGAAAGACGCAGACAAAGGGTAAGGAACACATAAAAGGGTAAGTTTATTTGAAGCTAAATTTGCGTGTTCGTTGAAATTTTGCTCAATCGACGTTATAAAGTTCGCGTCTCGTTTCGTATTTCAGAAGCCCTACTCCTACCGAAATGTGTTAATTACGTTCTGCGTGAAAGCGTAAATGATTTTCCTAAGTTTTATAGTATAGCAAAAGTATGCTATGTGAGCTATAGTAACATAAGCACAGTAGACGATAACAATAAACATTACAAAATACAGCTGTGGTCGCGGCAACTCATTAGAATAATGAAGTTTTCACTATAATTTCCGGCTTGAACCGTCAATGATTTAATATGACTTTTGCCCTGACCACAAGCAACATTCAAGACAGACATACAGATGTTACATACACATAGAGAATGAAACGAATACACAAAGGAGTGAACAAAAAATTGAGAAGCATCAGTGGCGCCGTTCGCGTGCCGTGCCGTTTTGTGCCGAGTCGTGCGGTGGCGGGTAGCGGGCAGCGGACACGCGGCGGGCGCCGGCGAACACACATATGCAGGAGTCGCAACAAAAGGGAACAGGTTGACAGATACTGAACACTGAGGGGCGAGGGCGGGCTGACTGACACTTACCATGGTGTAAAGGAATTCCAGAACTCGCTAGGAGTGGCGGACACACGGCGGCACAGGGACACAGAAAGACAGGACAGATTACTACACAGATACCTACATCCCTCAGTGCAACACCACCCCGACTTCGCAATCCGGCGACTGCGCGCGTCTACACTGGTTACTTTGCGTTTTAACACTTGCTCTGAATGCTCTTTACGAATCAAATTGCGAATGTACCGGCTCGAATACTAAGCCCGTTTGCATTAGAACAACACCACCACTTTAATTTATACTCTTTGAAAGCGTTTTAAAAAGAAATTTAAGCTCGAATAAAAGGCCTATTGTTGGCCGAGACGCGGGGCGAGGGGCACGGGGCAGACGAGCCTGCCGGATGGTGGGCGCAGACGCTCCGTCAAGTGTTACGTTTGTTAAGGTTTAATGAAACAAATGCCAGAACGCAATATAACCTCTAGACTTTTCAAATGAAATAAAATAGTGAAGCGGCTCGTGTTTTAATGCAAACAAACTTTTTAGGCGCTTTTGCATATAAAGCGAGGTGGGTTGACTACTATTGTTATTCAGTTTTGCTTTGTCTTATTTAAAATTTCGAGATATTAGATATTCTATTAATTAATTTTGTTATTCGAAAGTTTAACGACTAAACCTTTGAAGTCGATAATAATAACTAGAATCACAACAGATTTGATAACATTAAATAGAAAACGAATAAAGTTTTGGATAATTTAGATTAAATGGCGTATTATTTTAAGTAATAGTCTGTCATGATTCAAGTTGTGTTTGTTGATCCATACAAAAATACTGTATAATTTACTCGACGGGAAGACAAACAAAACTGTTCGGAAGCTTTTGAGCGTTATTGAATCGTATTATTCCATTTAACATTACAATCAGACGCATTTTTTTTGTTTAGACAAACAGGTAGGGTTAGACACACACAAGGGATAAACATTAGACAATACACAACACATCGGATCTGGTGTGAAAAATAAAATTATTAAAAAAACAAAAATCAACAAAAATTAAAGTAAATGTAAAACAAAAATCATGCGGGGCTCGCAAATAATATTGTTTTATTTCTCACGCGACGAAACGCAGGAAAATCAAAACACTTCCACCAGATGGTAAAATAAATATTAATTGAGAAAGTACAAAATGTATAAAGTACATGAGATAACTTAAAATAACCACACCAAATCCTCAGGAGAGGTCGAGGAAAATGAGCGGGATTTAAAATGGCAGAGGTGCGCTAGTTCCTAATTTTATCATGGAATGAATTTTATTTCTTTCTCTCAAAGATTTATATCACTGTATGACAATGAAGATTTTATTTTACTTTATAGTGCAAGGACTCTCAGTTATAAACATTTAATTTGATAAAGCGTAAGAGATATCGCTGATTTTATAAACATGTTTGACCTAAGCGATAACTTTTACATTATAATAACGATTTGGTGTACGAACAATTTGTGACGAACTTACCTCTCAGAATATTCATCCATGTGTGCATAACTCTGAACTGAGTTCTCTTCGATAAGGAACTTAACGCGCTGGTAAAATGATGCGGTGACAGAAGGCGGCTGCTTGCGGAGCAGCACTTCTACGGGGTCGTTGGAGGCGAGGCACATTATGTGCTCCGCGCACTCCGGCCGGCTGCAACACTCCGAGTCCGAGCAGTCCGTCATGCCATCTTCAAAATGGTAGTGCTATCGTCAGACGCCAGCAATCGCACGGCAAACCGCCGCTTCCGTATTCGAAAGCTGCTATACGACTTATGAAATAACAGTATAAAAGACCATTTGGAAGTAGTTACATTACCTTCGTCGTTGTCTTCGTTATCGTTGCAGGAGAGCTCTAGTGCGATGGAGCAGTCTGTGCCAGCCCAACCGTCGGCGCATGAGCAATGATACACGCCGTCTTCTAGCAGGCACTGCCCGTGACGAGAACAACCATTCGGGCAACCAGCTAAATACAACGAACGTTTTGTTAAGTATACTTTAATATAAAAAAAAACATTCTATCCTGTTTACAAAGAACCTAATTAAAAGACTTAATAGCTTTGAAGAATTAAAAACATTAGAAGGAATTCTTACGTAGCGTGCAATGTTTTCCGTTCCAACCCTGCGTGCAAACGCATGTTCCGTTTTTACACTGTCCGTGCTCATGACAGCGGAGGTCGCACGGTCGCTGGTCGCATAGTGACCCCGTCCAGCCTTCGTCACAGCGACACACGCCCTCCGCGCACACGCCGTGAGGTCCACAATCCAAGGAACAAACCACTGTTACATATACAACATTTTATAACATAAATAATACAAACAAGTCAATAATAGTTTCAAATCAATTCAAGTGGTACGATACAACCGACTCTTCGATTATATCCTAAATATCTAACCTTGAGAACAATCATCGCCAGTATATAAAGGATCACAGACGCATCTGCCAGCATCGAGATCGTACACGCCACGCTGCGAGCATGCAGGTAGACAACGCTGCACACGCGCATCACGTTCGCTGCATGCGGCACCTCGCCAGCCGGCGCGGCATACACAACGCCCACGCACGCATGACCCGTGACCACCGCAGCTCGGGTCCAAACAATCCTCTAAAATATAAATAATTTTAAATTCAGTATTTTCTCATATAATTTAAAGATATGATTGCTAAATAAAAAGCACCTTCATCGCACTTTGGACCCTTCCACCCCGGTTTACAATGGCAATGACCAGCAATGCATTGTCCACGACCGGAACAATCGGCGGGCTCGCAGTCGTGCGCAGGCACGTCGCATTCGGCTCCCTTCCAGCCCTCAGAACAATGACATATACCCCCCGCATAAGCTCCGTGCCCAGAACATAATACTGGACATACGCCTAAAAACAAAATAACATTCAGATGATATCTACAGGTATGCAACTTAACGATCGATCGAAAGATAATGATCGTCCTAAATAATATGATTCTTACTTTTGGAGCAGTCGTGACCTTCAAATCCATCCATGCAGTCACATTTACCAAGATAACAAGACCCATGTCCAGAGCAATCGTCGGGACAAGAATTAGTGACCCCTTCAGCTTCCGATACAATCATTTCAACGCTGTGGGATTGAAGTTCATCGTTGTATATTGAGATAAACCATCTTCCCGTGTCGAGATACTGCAGAATGCTAACATTAACCCTCATGTCGGTCGATCTTTTGCTTATCGTATGGTTCCACCTATGAAAAGGGCTTATGGTTCCTAGTAAAGCGTCCCAGTTGTCGAGGCTATGATCGAAAGTGTTAATTCGGTGCGTACTTCTTTTGCGCAGCCTGTGGTCGACTCTGCCGCCACGTATGAATTCAGCAAAATCATATTGAGTCACGCTGGGGGCTACATTTCTTCTTCCATAAACGGCAAAATTGGCTCCCCAAGGTACTGTGAAGTTGAGGCTTACGTAGGCTGGCTGTTTGTTATGGAATTCAGAACTCCAAAACTGGTAGGCGGGTATTGTAGCGCTGTGTAATTCATCAAATTCTCTAACTTCCAAAGCCGGCGACCAAGGTGGTGGTGCAGCTTGTTGTGCCTGCTGAGGTATAATTGCAGACTCTATTGACGCCTCTGCTGTTGTGGACCATCCGCCAAGTGAGGACGTTGATATTGATTCTAAAAACAAGATTTCTGTTACTCTAATGTTATTAACATTTATTAAGGCAGACCAAAAAAAAGAAGGTTAATACCATCCGAAGGTGAAGACGTAGATAGTGAATCTCTAATTCCTTGTGCGTGCGTTACTGCTTTTACGTCCTGTACCAGGATACAATTAGAATTGTCTATATTACTTTTAATTGACGATAATGCTGCAACAAAGAGAAAATACCGAGATAATTTAAAAGCACTAATAATGTGTCGTATGTATACTATGAAAAAAATTGTGTTACCTAGTTTGTGTAAGTAGTATAAATACAGAGAAAAAATTAAATAAGAATAGGGTCCGGAGTAATTGTACTAAACCTATATAATGTCTTTATTTTAAGGTAGGTCCACAGTGAAAGATTTCGCTATAGAAATTGACAGAATGGAACATGAATAGGATAGGATAGATGTCGTGACGTCCCGTCGGTTTTTAATTAGGCGCAGCGCAAGCAAGGCGCGTATCGTGGAGGTGTGACGAATCAATCGGCGCCGCTGCCACGGGCAGGGGGCTGCCGGCCAGCGGACACCGAGCACGTAGGTCGCCCGACGCTCACTTACATCCAAATATTTCTTGCTGCCAGGAATGTCGTTGTCTTCTCATTATATGACAGTTGCCAGAGATCGAATCGATTCGAATTTCGTGCCACTCCGACTAATTGGATATTTTTTCACGGTTCTAACGAAGGAGCACGGGGCTCCAATAACACGGGGTAAGCGATGCGTGAAACACCTTTGAAAATAACCTGGAAACTTCTAAATGGATTTTCCTTTTTCTGTTTCCATGGATGTTTTTTAACTCAGTTTCGCTCTCCTTGCTGAACGTTTTAAAAACAAAATTTGCGAACAGAAAGTTAGAAAGGGGCATTCGAATGGTCCTGGTATTGTGATGCAAAGAGAATTTATTGTGTACATTTATTAGTTTGGTAAGAAGGCTGCCAGCGGCGGCAGCGGGCCTGTAGATGGGATGTTTACTTTGTATGACGGGGTGAGGGGGGCGCACGGGGGTGCGCGCGGGTCGGGGTCAATGCTTAGGATATTGTGTGCGAAATTAGAGCCATAATTCAATCTTTATGATTACCAGCTTTTTATTGTTTGCATTTATACGAACAGGTAAAACAAAAATGATCTTCACTATTGTCTATACTAATAAAAATGGAAGCGTTTAGATTGTATGTTTTATGTTTACGACCTTTAAAATCCTAGAAGTATTTTATTTAATCGATGATTAATTGCATGATTTTTTTTGCTTACTAGTCAAATTATTAGTATTTGCAAACCACAACTATATCGAGTAGGTAAACAAAGAAACGTGGTAATAATTTTCACATAGTCGTAAGTCAGCGGATAACCCCTGGCGGTGTCAAGCAATTAAGTTATCATCTCGACCCTCGACATCCCCGAGATTTACTCTGAGATAAGGATCACTATGCGTTGACGCCATTTGGTCGTTTGCCTTCACTCGGACAATTTAGATACGCAAGTTAAAGGGCGACGTCTGTTAGCGGCAATAACTGTTATTGACTTTGAGATCGATATTGTAAATACCTCGTTTATATTCAAAGCGAACGTGTGCATTAAAGCGGGAGTAATTTTTAAATCCTACTACGCTGAGAAGGGATTACTCGATACAGATTGCATTTTTATTAGACTGTCTATCGTGTGCTACTGAATACAAGCTTAAAGTATTTTTCTTTGACCTGATAAACAAATTAAAAATGAACTAATACTAGTCAGTTGCAGAATCTTTTAGAAGATAAATCATTCCTTTTTGTTTTATTTAACCCTTAACAAATGTATGAATCTTAATATACAGCGGTTTTTATAAAACGTTAATAGTTTTATATGTATAAAAGGCAACGATACTTATAAGTATATCAAGAAATTTAAAGAAATTCACCCCTCGGTGGTTCTATTTGCGCAAAAATCGAAGAAATGTGCCATGGCCGTTAGCATTTGGAGAACTGTGTCAAGGACATACGAAATACGCAGTTCTTGCAAATATGTGGAAAAACAACTGAACGTATACTTAGTAATTTAGGATTTAATCCAGAACAAGAAGATACAGTTATTTTGATAACTAAGAACTTTAATAAATACTCTGTATCAAAATTCAAACTAAAGATATTTAATAAAGTACACAAGACAGCTAATAATCGTAGAATGCCTCGTAAAATATGTTATGTTACATCAAAACGGCCTGAAATGTCGTAATTTCCGCTCGCAGAAATGAAATATTGCAATGTGGTTGCGCGACTTTTGCCGATGATCCCTCGTAAAACCTATAAATTTTCTGTATAGAATGGCCTCAAGGAGGAAGCGAGGGCACTCGGCTCTCGATGCACGGGACGATTGTGTGCAGATGGACGATGTTTGCTATCTGTACTATTTTTCGAGTTAATACAATTTATTGTAATACGATTCAGCATAGATTGCATCGTGCCATGGGGGAACGAAACTCGTTTGATGGAGTCCCGAGGGATGGAGCGGCTCGCCCCGTCGATGCGTTCAGTATTAGTCACATGATAAATCTTTTGCCGCTCGTGTGTGTCGTCTGTCTCCTTTCTTAACATAGTGAATATTATAACGTCATCCTTGTCTATGATCGAAATCTGCCGGAGGGTCGAGGTCGCCTTGCCCTATTTTATAAGAAGCGTGGACACTTTCGTCTATGTTGGCTGTAAGCGAAAATTCGATTTAAAGATTTTATTTTGTAATAAAAGCAATATTTATGCTGTTATGAAGTATCAAACAAGTATAAACATATCGGTATTTATCCTACCAATTTTGCGTTTCGTACTTGACATGTATTTAAAATAATAAAAGAGCACTGTTAAATCTAACACATAAATAATAAAATAATCAATTCTACGTTCTAATTGCTAAGCGAGTAAAAAGTTAAAACAAAGTAAATGGGCACCGGCAGCTCCAGTTAATCAGTTGCATTGCGCGTCCGAGATTAATGTTTCATGTCTAATGCACTTTGCGCATTAACGAACGATTTTTCTTCGTCTCTATACGAATGTACAAATCTAATAGTAAGCGTTAGTTTCAACATTAACACGAGTGAGAGCTTTAATAAAACATTTGGGGCCCTCTAAATTTCAATTACATTTAAAAATTTGACGCGACAATGTTCCCCATTTATTGAACAACACATACGCAATGAAGGGTGCAACAGATGGTGCGCATTTTTTCATTACCACTAGAACTAGTGAAACAGAGTAGATTTATGTTGGATTATAAACTGCAGAAACGCTATTCCAATGTATCCGGAACGCCCGGAGGCGTGCAACGCAATATTTGCTCTGTATTTCGGTGCTCTATTTCAACGCAACGTCATAATACGATATGCAAACAGTATATTTCAAGGTTAACAAACCCATGTGTATGATTCATCTGGAAGCTTTAGGTACTCTATGAACTTATAACACGTTTATAAACCAAGCGTTTCGTGACTTTAAAATCAGATAAGAATAACAAGGATGAGAATAGATTTGAAGATTACTTAATTTTTTACTACATGGTTTTAAATTCACATTCTTAAGACACTTAATATATTCAGAGTTCGAGTTGTGTTTTACATAGTAAAGCGAAAAAGTGAAAAACAAGAATGACAGATTCTATAATTGAAATGGGTCACAAATAATACTTAACTAAAACATTTTTAAATCGATCTACTTATCAATATCTGTATAATCTAAATGAGGTGATATAAAAGCATAATTCATTTAATTAGAAAACAGTATACCCTTTTAAAACAGTAACGCCGCCGGTTCAAAGTTTATACGACATGCATACCTTATCTCGTCTTCCCATAATTTAATGGGAATCTAAACGAAGTGAGATCCGATACGATAAGAGCCATTGACTTAAGACACCTTATATTCCGGTCGGTTCATTACATTACTTTAAAGAAACGAAGAAAATGTAATGTTCCATTTTATGTTTCATTCCGGAGTCGGACTTTCTCTTCCAAGTTTAGCTTCGTTCTTAATTGGATAATACTTTGAAGAGATATATTAAAGTTGCTCATACTTAAAACTCAACGTATAAATTGTGTTAGTGCGATACTAGAGGTAATTGATTACTAGAGAAATTTATTGGAAAAGATAAGATAAAGATCTTTTACTAACTTAGATAACTGTGAGATCGTGTGGTTTTATTGAGTTTATTATACTAAGTGCCATTTAAAACTGAAAATAATCACTTATTCTTACAAAAAAATCTTATAATGCACCCAAATCTTTTATGAAAACAACTAAAAAGTTTAATTAAGCAACTGAATTAATATAATTTAAATTAACATAAAGATGATAATTGTGGACTTGCAAATAAGAAGTGGAATCATAAAATATTCTGGCTGGCGCTGCCATTGCACCTGCCAAACGTTTTATCAGATATTTATAATTAACTGCATACCCCCAAGTTTCGTTAACAACTTATTTGCATAATAAAAGCGAATGACAAAGGTGTAACACTTGATAATGATATTTACATAAAGTTTTAAAGCTACGTATTACTAAAAAAAAACGAATTAAATCGAACATCGAGAGGGGTCGACAGTGTAGCTTAATATATCTACATTTAACCTTTCCAGTTCTGTACAAAATGCGTTTACTGTTATTTAATTTAATATAAGTAACAATGTAAACGAAAACATTATAGTGTAAACAATATTAATAAGGTTCAAACAATGTGTGCAATTGTTGTAAGTTTGTGTGTGAAAAGCCTTTCTTTCCGAGGACGAGTTGCCGAAAGTGACGAAGTTCCCCTGGCGTGCCGGCGGCGCGTTATTTGGTGTTTGTTGGAACAGTTTAACTGAACTGCGGGTTAAGTTAAATTGAAACTGTAGTTGCAAACACGCTATGTTCTCGCTAACATAACATATTTTTTACTATTTGAATACGCTGGTATGCATACAAAATTACTGTTATAATAATGCAAGTGCTTTAATATGGCCTTCAGCACGTTTACTAATCTGTATAAAATCGAGCAAATTATTGTGGAATTATTAAAATTTACTGTAGGTTGATGTAAGTTTACTTGATACTAGCTTAGCTCGCATCTCTGTCCGGGTGGAATTAAAAAAATAAAGTAGCCTATGTGTTCTTCCAGGCTATCCTCTACACCTGTGCCAAATTTCATCCAGATCCGTTTGGCCCTTAGTCTACAAACTCTAACAAACATCCATCCATCCAAACTTTCGCATTAATAGTATTTGTACGATCAATTAATACGTGATATGTAACAAAAATGTAATTTATTACTATTATGTATTATTTACATTATTTTGATCGCAACTGTAACAGTATAGTGGTTTTTTCAGTCTTTAATTTAATGCAATTAAAAAAGCCTGAATATTCGAGGCACTTATTTAAATAAAATTTGAAAGTGTTAATGAATGAAATAAAGGCAAAAAGTATACAGAGTGGAAAGTAACACTCAGTTGGCAAATTCATATTTAAATAAAATTTAATTAACAATTAAGAGAAGATAAACTAGAATTTCACAACACGCTGCTTTAATGGCGAGAGTAAATTTGCTTTTATCTGCTTCTGAGCAAATAAGAACTTAAAGTGCAATTTCCCGCCTTAGCATGCGGGTTGCAGCACAAAATTGATTCAATTAGCATATCCAATGGATTCCGTTAACTTTCGAATGTCCGAACAGTTTCCAAAACAAATAACATCCATTTTCAGTTTTGAGTATTTGCTTTGCATTGCTACTGGCAAACAAAACTCTGAGGGTTTGGGACCGATCCTATTCAGACCCTTGATTGAATCCAATGTGCAAGTGCCAATGAATAAATGAATTTATACAGATGTTTCATATGAAAACGTATGAATTGAATGTCAGTTCGGTTCAGTCATTCAGTGCTAAATTTAAAGTTTTTGTTTTAAGGAAAAGCTTTTACTTCTTTTTTACAAAATTAATTCACGTATTTTATACCATAAGTTGACAGTTTTGCATCGTCATTTCCGATCATGTGTTTCTTCAGTTGTTTTTATTCTTAAAAAGATCAATAGAATCCTGTCAAAGCAATGTTCGGGCGTAGTTTCCCAGTACCGGGCAACCATACTATATATTTGAATTCTCTGAATCAATGGAATATTAAACTTTACTTCGAAATAGCTATTTGACATGAACTATTGCATGTTAAAGAGTGACAATTTCTATTCTTTAGAAGGTTTCCACAATGAAGTCGCGTGGCCAATTACTATTGTGAAAGAGTGCGTAAATGCTGAGGTCTATAAAGTCTACTTGACCATCTATAAAGTACAAAGAAAAAGAAAAAGTTCTAAACGTTACAATTCTGCTAGAAATGGAATTAAAATATCTCTCCAGCATAGAGCGGGGTCGTAACTCGCAGCACAGTGCATTGTTTCTTTGAAGGTTCCGCAGTTACGTAATAGGAGCTTTGCGTGACGTCGTGATAAAATGGCTTCGCCTGCTCTACTCGTACCATATGCATTATACCTCGTTCTATTTTTAAATGCAGAATAAAAATTGCTGACACGTGAAATTGATTTTGAATTTCAAATTAGGTTAGACTTTTAGACGTAATTGAAAAATGAGCGTACAAAAGACTTACACGTTCAGAAATAGAAATTTAAATTTTTTACTCCGTAACAATTATTTAAAAAGTGAATATATCGAAACTTAGTATAAACGAACATCGTCCTGTTACATTATCTTTGATAACTCTGGCACAACTTTCTCAAGCCAGTAATGTTTTTATCACCATTTAACTGCCAGTATGTTAATTCAAGTTATAATAGTAAACAGCTTCCGCAGCCAGCCAGTACTCTTATGTAGGACAGATGTAGTTATCACTCCCGTTGCGGACGGAATCGACTTTGATGCTATTTTTGCGACCTCTTAAACGTGTCTGCGGTCTGAAGTTTTATCGCTACGAACACTCGCATGCGGTCAACTGAATTAGATACAGAAATAGTTTTATGAATAAATCAAGCCCATCGTATAGAATTTAGTTACTAAAACTGTATTTATTGCCTGGCTATTTGTATTAAAAATAGTTTTTAACTTAATCATAAAATGAGGATCTAAGTTTACTGTGGATGTTATCACAAGTAATATTTTGTAACTTTTCAACATTTATATAAAATTGTTACGCTTTACGCTCTATTCGTTAAATTATGATTTTTTATTTTTACGTAAAAAATAAAGTATTTTAACACGTAAAACATGCGTTATTTATTTAATAAATAAAAAAGTCATCTCGGTTATGAAAGCGGTGTCTGGAACAAGATATTTTATCGGGTCGCAAATAAAAAGTTATTCTGGGTTAAATCGAGATAGGATTACTTTCGCGATTTATGGAGCTTTAGGTATGGTATACGTAAATTATGATTGGTCGTTTCGCGGATAGGCCGGGATTGCGAGCCTGATATATCCCTAGTAAAATGATATGCGACGTGGAAGTGTAAGATTATTTATTACCCCGCTAACGTACAAGCGAGAGCCCGAAACGCTTCAAGTTAGTCGCGTCGTTAATATTATTTCTGTTTAAATATTTGAATGGTTTTTTATACGGTTTGATACCTAAACAAAGCAAGTCGAGAGACTAATGCCGTACGTACACTTTCATTGCAACATCAATTTTTAATACACACATTCACATCTGTGGGAACAATGAAATACGTTTCTATAGTGTACTTACTTTTGCATACTATGTTTAAACAGCACGGTTTTAAGTTTTAAATTTGTTTAATATAAAAAAAAATATCGAATAACATTTGTAGCATCAAACTTTATATCATGTCTGTTTATTTATTTATCCTTACCAAATAAAGCTTCCGTCAATTTTATATTTAAATCCAATAAAACTTATTTTTTGTACCCGTCGTTTCCAATAATAATGACATTGTCTAAAAGGAATTAAGAATGACAGTCCAAACGGAATCCACTCAGTAAAGCTAACGAATAAAAAGAGATTTATAATGCGTATAATTTGATCGGCATTGGTTGTGAGTTATTAAAGGAACACCTTAACGATATACATTCGGACGTCCCGCTGGCTTTTTATGAACATAGATAAATTGTTCTTCTTGTAGCTTTGTATTAGAACATGAATTAACTTACTTGTTGAGGGTTCATAATTATGATACCATTGGATAACTTGTACTAACAGTTGGGGGTTATAATAGATGAAAAATTCAGATAGAATTTTGCTTTTTTTACATTTTACAGTGTATTTGTAGTTATTCTACTGTAGTCTCATGTTTGTTACTCACCTATAAAGTAAGCTAGCATCGCCGCTAGGATAACACAGAGGCAGATCATGGCGATAGCAAGACACTTCCATGTGCACCGGTGTTGGCAGCGCTTGTCGATGTGGAAGCGCGAGGGGGAGTAGACGGGCACGGGGCTGGGTTGCGTCGCTCGCAGTGGGAACACGGGCATCACCAGCGGTTGGTTAGCAAGTTGGCAATGCCCGCTGCCCAGCGTGCCACTCATCCCGCCTGCCATGCCAGCGTTTGCCAGTCTGCAACAAATGATAATCAGTTAGACAAAGTTATTATCATTGTTTTATCTTACGGATTTAGAGTTTTTTTACCTTGCGCGTTATTTTATAATGAAACGTATTTAATATAAAATCAACTGTAGTAAGAAGTTATGAGAATTTATTAAAACTTTTGAGCAATCTTATCGTCTTATATCATAATATTATTTTATTAAAAAAATGTCCTTCCACAGCTTAAGTTTAATTACGTCACTTATAATATGCCGTTTTAAAAACGTATGCGCTCACATACAGCCAGTAATAAATTATTACCGCATACTTAATTAGAGCTGTCAAGAATACACAGTAAGGTAAATGTACGTTCACTATGACGTGTATGAAATATCCCAGGCTTCGTTAGGTGTTTCATTCAGTCCACGGCTCTGGAAATTCAAGCTGCGAATAAAGTGTATCATGTTTTTAAATTTATTTTTTCCTTTCTACTTCATGTTTCTTTTTGATTTTATTTTTACTGCGTTTGTGTGATTTATTTATAGTAAAATTGTTCGAAAATGCATCTAATTTGTAGATAAAAATGAGTAAATATAACAGTGTTTTTCTCCTGCTTTATAAATATGATGATTTTTCATCTTGATTGTTTTAAAAATTAACTCTGTGTTCTTAAGCTTATTGGCACAATTATGTTTGATTTACGTCTATCAATTTCTACAAAGCATTCTTCAACACGTACCATCATCAACATATCAATTCCATTCCCACACTCGCGGCGCATAGCTGTAAAGTTTTTTGAGCCGCGTAGAAACATCGGAATAAAAATCTGGAATTTCCTTTCCTATCCTCACTCCACAACCTGTCGCGGTTGTATAAAAAAGCTTAGATTACGAACAACTGTTGCATAGCGAATCTGTGCCTTCGACCATATGGTGTGTATATTATTACGGATCTTTTTAGACAATCAAAACGTATCATTATTAGGGATTCGAATTCTATAAAAAAAGATGGAGCCATTCAAACACGTCCGCCCCGAGAGATCATTAATCAATTAGCCGAAGTTCGCTGTCATGGCTAAATTTAAACTTTTAAAGGCAGTCAACATATGGCGTATCGGTTGTCCGAAGCGTTCACCAACTGACGCTAACGTAATGACCCAGGCAGTATAAGAAAGTAGAAATAATCGGCCAGAAGTTAGCGAGGCCGGAGCGTGACTCGCAAAGGGTTTGTTTCGAGGAGCCACTACACTATAATTTTCTTTGAAAGACGCCCGAGAAGAAAGAAAGAAATCACAGTAGCGGTCATTTTTAGGTCCTTTGATATATTTTACTTGCAAAAATATTTACAGAGGTAAAGTAGAATTATTATGTTACGATGTAAGACTTAACGCAAATGTTTGATTTTAAACAAAAGAACAAACTAATATATTATTTGAATACATGAAGTTTACTCCTTCCATCAATTACCTATCATTTAATTTAATGTATGTGCATCTTTTCTCTTAAATATTATATTATATTATTCAACGTTGTTGATTTTCCTTTGCGTGGGTTTTGATTAATATAATATTGTTGCAGTTAGTTGAATCCGAGTTCTGTAATCGGAGAATGTCGATTAACAGTTTATTATACGGACTATTTGTAACTGTACACGAAATTGATTTCGTTAAATCCATCCTCATTTCGGTTTTTTTATTGTTTATTACTTCACGTGGGCGTCATTACTGGTCGGACATCATCGCATTACTGAAATTACGGAACGGTTTTGTTTTTGTACAAGGAATTTTTGTGTCATACCATCATTATATTAAGCAAGATATAATAACTGATTGCGTATTAGACAAATTTGTACAACAGTATTGTTCTATTTACGAATGATTCGTCAATGAAGGAGTGTTGTTGAATGAGAGAAACTCTGAAGACAATTAGCGGCGCCGACTGTGACTATTGCAGAACAATGTGACTATATATCAAGCGGCGTCCGACAGGCGTACGTTCAAATTTTGACAGACGTCGGTCGCGAGTGAGCTCTTAATGAAGCGGTAAATAATGAGGAGAGGTGTTCTGCACCGAGAGCCATGTCTAATTAACACGAGAGCTCTCGACCAGTTTACACCAACCTGAGCATACTCGTCATATGATCCTTTCACACTATTTTAATCGACTTTCAGTTGGTAACATAAGTAATGTGATGTCATAAATAGTGAAATGGCATGTAAAAAAGGAGCGAACTCGAGCAGGTAGCGATAGAACTCGTTCGTGTGTGAGTTCGCTGGATCGTATAGTTTTTGTGATGGTAATCGCGCGTGCAACGGTCACATCTAGCATCGGGCATTGGAACGGGATGCACCGACCTCTAACTGGTAAACAAAAAGTGTGCGGCGGCAGCGCACCGCACGGGCACGGGCCGTGAGAACGCGTCTCCTTGAGCGGCGTTACTGTCCATTTATCTCGCACAGTCGTGCTGGAATGGGAGGTACGGTGTACTTTTATTGCTCTGCGTCCTTAAATATAGGTTTGCGGAGATTAGCAAAGTTTTTAGGACTAAATCGACGTCACCAATGGATCAGAAGGTGTGCAGTGAATAAAAACAAATAACTTTTTTGCTCCTTTCGTGTTGCTACTGACTAACATGTTGGAGCTGTGGTGAAATTATTTCCGTACAGCTGAGGTTGTTAATAAATTACATAATTATTTTTATGTTAAACGTTCAAAGTTTAATTGATGTCAAACATCGGGGACGGCATTGACCTCGGAGAAATTAAACTCGATAAAGTGGAATGTAAATGACGCAACGAACTTGAGAATGAGTGTTTATGAAGTTGTTTGAGATTAAAATATCAATCATAGCAGTAATGCATTTCGCTTAATCTTTAAGATATAACTTTTATAAAAGCTGTTAAGTTTGTTTTGTACAAAATTAATTATTTTAACGTCACTTTACAATGTTTATAAAGTTATATTAATTAGTTAAGATACTATTTTAATAACATTTCCAATCATTAATAGTAGAGATATTAAAATAAACATATTACTTTTAGAACGGTATTAAATTCCGTCTTATAGATATATTATGTAAGGGTTGCCGCATCCCCTGGTACAGAAGGGTGGTATGCAATGCCGTGAACCCTAGTCGTAAGAAGAAATCGATATAAGCCGCTAGCTTTGCTTTAAATGCCTAGCGTTTTGAAGTCCTTTCAAAAGGACTTTTACATTTAGTGCCCACAATTATTCAAAAGAGCTTTTTATTTTTTGTTTTATTTGCAAAAACGAAGAAATCCTTAACAAAAAAGCTTCTGTTGATTTCGTAAACAATGGTAACTTGTGGTGTTTTAAACTAAAAATCTTGAAGGTTTTGACTGGATTTCTGTAATTTAGGTAGAAAAATATGTTAAAACATTCCTTATAATATAGTAAAAAAGTTAAGAAGTACTGAATGAATTGCGTAATTAATAAATAAGCGGGAGTTCGCACTTATTGTCCACGACGGGGAAATTAAGGAGGCTTCAAAAATAAGTTGAATAATTCTCATGCCTTCAGAGTTTGCGCTCACGAGCCAATAAGAAAGACGATTACCTGAAGAGCGATTACGTCGGAATAATTCAAATTAAGTTAATTTCGTGATGAGGATAAATGTGAATAGTCATATTTTTAGCAAGAAATATTAAAAATATTTTTTTTCGTAAATTGTCAGTCAGGTGAAGTATAATTTCAGTTATACTTTAAAACAACACAGATAATTTTTTTTAGTTGTTTAGAAAAACTTTTATAATTTCGAATTACTTATGCCTTGGCACATTTATCCTCAATGTAAAGTTGTAATCTTATATTAGTTGTAATCTATTAAAATATTTGAAATCCCAAATAACAAAATTTCAATTAAATTATATCGAATTAATCTTTCGATACACACGTATATCGAAACCTATTTATTTTTTACCTCTGCCGGCTTTACGTCCGCCCCCTACATTTAGTGCAAGGGGCGAGCTCTGAAGATGCTATCGACATAAAATGAATCATACATTGTAATATTATGGTGGAGCTTTGAGTCCTCCAACTAATTGCCCCGTATTGAAAGAAGACAATGAACAACCTTGAACGTTGTCGATTGTTCGCGTTTTAAAATGCCGCATTGTAATTGGGAATAAAGGAATTGCGGGCAATTAATATGATCTTGTGGTAGTTGATAATTTGTTACACGGTAATTTGGTGTTCTTCGGGATATAAACAATACAGTAACAGCTGGCAGCTATTACAGTATTGTGTTGTTTTACGATGTCTGTTGTTACTGTTGTATGCAATTTTAAATAGTTTGTGTTTTGTTTTTACAGCTTTATTGTTAACTTTGGTTACAGACTACAGACTTCCGACTTTTCAGACTTTTGAAAAATACAACACATATCCATTAAATACTTTAAAAGATTTTACAAGTATTCGCGTTAACGTTTAACATTACAGAAACATTTTATATTACGTGTAGCCGTCGTACTTTCGCATTCAACAATGCGACATCGCTAAACACGAGTATCGAGAAATAAATTTAAATAATGGCATTCTTTTACGTTAACAGCGACATGTGCGACCAAATAACTGAGGATACGACGGCGTATAAATCAATCGATGGCGGTTCCGACGACCCCTGCGCTGCAAGTCATGGGTGTAAATTTAAGAAAGCCCCCAATTTAAAACGTAATGTATAACAATAGCGGACCCGTTCTGCCAATTTCCTCCACCGACATTTGCGTTGTACCAGGGGCAGAATAAAATTATCGTTGAGGCCCGTTAAAATGCTAATCTAGGATTGCTAGAGTAGGCAGAGATTGCGATCGGTATCCGCTATTCCTTGAGTGTACGTCTCAAGTATCGCACCACAGGTCATCGAACGACAGATAACAATAAACGAAAACTATGGTTGAAGTTAAACTTTTTTTTTTAAGAAAGATGTAAATACGTTAATGACAAAGGTTTTTATAGTTAATTTATTTAAACTACATTTAATTCACTGATCAAAAATAAGCGTGATATTTAAAA